TATTTTGACCATTTTTGTTTTGCGAATAATTTTTTTTATATTTTTATTAAGTACGACTTGATGAGAAGAACACACGTTTAAAATTTCAAGTGATTTGGATTTGTAGAAAAAAAATTAAAATTTGAACACGAAATGAAGTCGTGACCGTCAGATTGGTCCAGATTTAATTTGAGCCGTTGAGCTCATATGTTCATATGAGCTAGTGGGTTAATTCCAGTTTTTTTATATATATTTACTTCATTTTATGAAGAAAAAAGAAACAGATGTTGGCTTTTACATAAAGGAAAAAATTTCTATAGAGTTGAGGTTCTAAACAATCAAATAATAGCGCACCTAAAATTTCATTAAAAGATGTTTTGATGTTAAAATATTCTCAAATTGGTCATCTCGACGTCAAGATGCATGGACATGAGAAAAAAAATGGATTTCAAGTTTTGGAAATAATGCATCTTGTAATGCATTTTTTTTACCGTCAATTTTCAAGATTTCCAAGTTTTCATATATCTGCCTGATCTACACTAGTTTATAAGTTTGAAAATTTATAATTAGAGATGGAAATATATTTTAACACTATCACAAAGATTTCCATTATTGTAACCACATTTTTTTGTACTATTTCAAGGTATGCCCTATTTTGGTTGTTTAGAGCTTCGGCTCTATACAAACCGCACTCGTATATAATCTTGGGCAAGCTTTCTACGCTTCCCTTACAATATAAACTTATATACTTCTTTTTATCCAACCGTCCATTCTGAATGGAGGGTATTGTCCGTATCACAATGTCACGAGTACACTATTTTATGTGTAAATTTTTTTCTATAAACTATTTTGACACCAAATTTTGGATATCTAATCTTCTATTAAATTAGCACTAGCGAAAAATATAAAAAAATATTTTCATTAAATAAAATAACCAAACCACCATTAAAAGTTTTAAGGGGTATTTTGGTCATTATATTTTATAAAAATTAGTTTTAATAATTTTTATAGGTGTGTCCCAATGAGAGGATGACATGTACCAAATTTTATATTCATACAATATGCATAAAAAAGCTCAAAATAAAATACTTTGAAATGTTAGATTTAAGATCAAACGGTGAGTGGCTCTCTTAATCAAAATTGGGCAGCTGGATGGTTAGGGAAGCATAGATCTTCTATGCTCTAGGGAAAGTATAGAAACTTTTCTCTTTAACATGGACATCATGAATGTAAAAAAAATAAAATTTGAAAGCTAAAAATAATAAGTATATTAGAAAAACATTTGGATGTTTAATTGCAATTGTTTTTAGATAGACCAACTATTTGTGTACATCTTTAAAATGGATGTTTTATAACTCTAGACTGCATATTGTAGAAATGCGGTCCAGCCCGCATGAAACAATTGTTCATTACATGATCAGATGCTTTTACTTGAAATAAAAGTCCTACTTTTTCTTTGCCTTTATGTAATTGTTTCATGTGGGCCGGCCCATATGTCATCCAAATAGGTGATCCATCTAAAAACAATTGTAATTAACAGCCCAGATTTTTTCTTAATATAATTATTATATTTAGTTTTTAAAAAATATTTTTTTTTATATTCATGATTTTTATACTAAAGATTATATATTCTCTAAAAGTTATGATCAAATTATATTTAAAAAAATGTATTTATTGCCAAGCCCGTATTGGTGCATTTGTGGGCTTGGCCACATGCTAACCGCGTCTTTATGTAATTCATCTCTGTCTCACAACAACTTCCAATATTCTTCCATATGGATCATGGGAACCCTTAAATTTCTCGTCCATTAGAATCGTAACTTACCCCTAATTTGTATTGGTATTTTTGTTTTGATTAGGAAAATTAAGGTGTTAAGATAATTCTTTACGGTTAAGCGCACTCTTGCAGCAACCCTTAAATTTCTCGTCCATTAGAATCGTAACTTAACACTAATTTATATTGGTATTTTTGTTTTGACTAGGAAAATTAAGATGTTAAGATAATTCTTTACAGTTAAGCGCACTCTTGCAGCAAGGTTGTTTCTTACCATTTTTGAATGCTGTCGGTGACGTTTCCCAAAAATTAAAAAAAAATTATGAAAAAAGTGAAAATTCTATTATCCGCTAGACGGATAATTTCGTTGGGAAATCTTTCACATGCGTGTCTCTACTTTATCATTCGCATGTCTCTGCACTGTCTTTCACACGCGTGTCTCTACCTTATCATTCGCATGTCTCTGCCCTGTCTTTCACATGCGTGTCTCTACTTTATGATTCGCATGTCTCTACCCTATCCGCCCTATTCTTCGCATTTCTGTACTTTATCCGTCACTTGATGATAATAATTTTTAAAAAAAATCTTTCGCGTGCATCTCTTTTTGCCCCATCCCTGCTTAAAAGAATACCTTAGCCCTATCCGCCCTATTCTTCGCATCTCTTGCTTTATCCCTTGACGATAATAATCTCTTTGGAAAATCTTTGGCGTGCATCTCTCTTTGCCCTTTCCCCTCTTAAAACCCTTTCCCCTCTTAAAAAATGCCAATCCGCTTACTCTCTCTAATTAGGTGGTCCCTCCTCTCTAAGCTTGCCCCTCTCTATTAAGCCTTAATAAAAGGGCAAGCCCTATACTTTTATTAAACCTTAATAAAAGGGCAAGCCCTATACTTCGTATAGGCGTCTCTGCTCTATTCGTCGCATGCGTCTCTCAATCCTATCCCCCGTTTGACAGGTATAATCTTTTTGGAAAATCTTTCCTATGCGTCTCTCACTGTCCTATCCTTGCTTCGCTTAAAAAAATGCCAACCTATCTGCTCTCTAACTAGGTGGTCCCTCTTCTCTAAGCCTCCCCCTCTCTCTTAAGCCCTATTAAAAGGCAAGCTTTCTATGCTTCCCCTATAACATAAAACTTATATACTTCCTCTTATTGAACCCTTTATTCTAAATGAAGGGCTAAGATTGCCCCAATCACATTCAACCCTCCATTCTGAATGGAGGGCTAAGATTGCCCTAATTACAACGTCATGTCTTTACATTATTTTGTTTTAAATTTTTTTCTATAAACTAATTTGACACCAAATTTTACATGTCCATTCCTCTATTAAACTCGCATTAGCGAAAAATATAAAAAAATATTTTAAATAAAATAAAATGACCAAAATACCTTTGAAAGTTTCAAGGGGTATTTTGGTCATTGTGTTTTAGAGAAAAATTATTTTTAATATTTTTTTTAGAGGTGCACCCAATGAGAAGATGGCACATACCAAATTTCATATTCATACAATTTGTATAAATAAAAACTAAAAATAAAATACTTTGAGATGTCGGATCTAAAATCAAATGGTGAGTGACTCTCTTGGTCAAAATTGGATGGCTGGATGGTAGGGGGAGGATAGAACTTAGAGGAAGTATAGAAACTTGTACCCTAGTAAAATGCCAACCCGCCTACTCTTTCTGACTAGGTGATCCCTCTTCTCTAAGCTCGCCACCTCTCTCTTGAGCCCTCTAAGTTCCCTCACTCTTGAGCCCTCTAAGCCCCTCCCTCTCTCGAACCCTAATTGCTGGTATCTCTTGAGCCCCTGTCTCTCTTCAGCCCTAATTGTTGTAATCTCTTCAGCCCTCTAAGCTCCCTCTCTCTTGAGCCTTAATGGCTGGTTTGCATAAAGCAATCCTTCTCTCTATAAGCCCCTGGATTTTTTTTGGATTTTTTTAAGTCTCTTTTCTCTTTAAGCTCCTTCTTCTCATTTGGATTTTTTTTTATGTTCCCTTTCTCTCCTCTGTATTTTTTTCTTTTTTCATTCTCTCTCTTTAGCATATCCATTCTCTTTAGCAAATCTAATCAATGAGAAATTACACATCACAATTATAATAAAAAAATTCACACAACATAATACTTATAAGAGATTGAGAAATTATACAACACAATTATAATAAAAAAATTCACGCAACATAATCCTCATAAGAGATTAGTAAAAACTCAATTGAAATAAGATACATCTTTAGTCTCTTCTAATACTTCAAACTTTTTTACTGTAATTACCAAACCTTCTAGTTTATTAATCAAAATTTTTCTCATTTTTTAACTTATACCATAAGGATTTTTATTTTGATAGCATAAATTTATTACTTATTTAAAATTATAATTATATAGATAAATATTTGAAATATTTCTATAAAAAATAAATAAAAATAAAACTTATCACAATAAAAACATGTTGTTCCAATTATATTATTCCAATGACTTATCATGTGGAAACCAAAGTCTATGATTCCATGTAAGTGGCAAAGACATGTAAAATAAGTGGGAAATTGTGTGATGATGACTTTAGAATGGTACAAGTTGTTATTATAAAATCTTTTTGGAATGGTGATGATGCTATTATTAGAAAATCTTTTTGGAATGATGTGATGATGACTTTAATTCTACATTTCAATGGAATTTTGTGACAAAAAAAGAAAGATATAATAGTTTATAGGCAAGTTTTGATAAATTGTTAGTAATGCATTTTCCATATTTCTTCTCGACATAGCCAAACAGTATCAACGCATTCTCCAGGTTGCATCTAAATACTACTCAAACAATAACAATTCATTTGCCGGATATGTATTAAGCCATTTGCAGGTAATGTATTACGCCAATAATATAGAAAAAATAGTTGCATGTATCTTAACTGCCCCTACAAGAAAAATATGTATTTGATAGCTCAAGGAATTTGGGAATTGCCATCAAGAAGCTCGGTAAGTCCATCACGGCCTCAGATTCCCAACATTCATTCTTATAGAATGGATTCGTAAATATATGAAGAGAGAGTGTCCCAACATTCCATCTTCTCAACGGGATTCATGAATTGAGAGAGAGGAAGAATGGTAAACGTATATGCGCTTGGAGAAGTTGGAAGGTCAGTTCAAGTAAGTTGGAAGGTCTCTCTCTGTAAGTCGTAATTTGTATAGATATCGAGCAGCATATGAATTTCACAATTACTCTTTTTGGTTCGCTTTGATCAACCAGAGCCGCTTAGCATTTTCATCACCAAACAAGTTAACGATAAAACCTTGCTCTGTGTGCTCCGGCGGCACATCTCAACATCAGTGCAGTTACTCCCACGTGAAGCACCTGACCAGGCAAGTACATATCGCAAACACGTGAAGCACCTGACCAGGCAAGTACATATCGCAATCATCTTAAGAATTATTAACTGAGTAATGATCTTATAAAACTTTTAAGAATTATTAATAGAGTAATGATCTTATAAGACCCTTCAACATTCATGTGTGAAATCTTAAAGGATCGCCATTAAATTTAACACAGATCTCTAAAAAAGTCAAATTTCACATCTGTAATAATTTATTTAGAGATCTATGTCAAATTAAATGGTGGTCATTTGAGGTCTTAAACACATGGATGTGGGAGGGTCTCATAAGATCGTTACCCTTATTAAAATCATCTAAAAATATGATTAGCAATTCATGTCAGCTATTTTCTGATTTTTAAATTTTTTTTAAATTTTTTTTTTTTGGGGTTTTTGAGGATGGGACGGGTAAGTTGGGCACCAGCTGGCCTAACTCGCCTCCACATTAGGGTAAACACTAGTACTCGGCCAAGTCTTCAATCTATATCGTAGGTCTGAGCTCTTGAGATATGCGGAAATGTTTATTTATGGTTTCCTTTTCCTTGGTAAGGAACACGAATTTTATTTTGATTATCTGATTTTGATTATCTGGTTTTTCTGAAAAATCATTTCTTTAATAACACTATAAATTAACTGATTTTCATTTTTATTGTCATTAAAACACCAAACCTGAAAAGTTCCCCATCTGGTTTTTTGGTGGTCAATCCAGTCATCTGGCTCAAGCAGTCAAACCTCCAAAAAAAAAAAAAATCTCAAAAATATATATAAAAAAATTCAATATTTCAGAAAACCTGTTTTCTTACTAGACTGAAATGGAAAATGATGCGGTCCTGGTCAGACCTGGTCCAACCAGCTCTGAGTAGGAAATCAATATGATAGCATTGATGTAAACTCCTCTGCCTATTAATGCAGAATGGCTGGTCATTTTTAGTGACCACTGTCATCAGAACAAGGTCCCTAAATAATTTTCGTTATTATTGCATTATGATAACGGCCATCATAAAATAGACAAAAGTCTGAACGTCACATTTATAGAAGGGCTAAGCTTTCTTTTTTTCTCGTTCAGCATAAAAATCATATACTTCCTCTATTTAACCGTCCAATTTGAATGAATGGTTGAGATGACCACAATCACAGTGACACGTGTCATTATTTTATTTTATTTTTTTCCTTCAAACTATTTTGACAACAAATTTTGGTTGTCCACTCCTCTCTTAAACTCACACCTGAAAAATATTAAAACAAAATCCCAATAAAATAAAATGAGCAGAATAACCTTGAAAATTTAAAAAAATATGATGATACACACCAAATTTCATAGTCATCCAATTTGAACAAAAATAATAAAAATAAAATACTCTGAAGCATCAAATCTAAAGCAAACGGTCAGTGGCTCACTTGATGTAAATTGGACAGCTGGATGAAAGGGGGAAATATCTTCTATAGTAGGGGAAGTATATAAACCTTTCCCTATATAAAAACCAAAGAATAACATATAAGAATGAGGAAAGGGCTAGGGTTTTTTAAAGGGTGTGGTTTCTATAAGGTTGCAACCTTCATTAATCCAATTAAGGTGCACCTCCATATTTTATGTAATTTTGGTGAAAAAATTCGTAGTATTATCTCAAAATCTATTTTCATATCTAATTATAAAATTTTAAACTCCAAATTTCTAGAAAATTTTATTGGAGTTCTTTTTTTTTTGGGGTAAATTAGTGAGGGAGAAGGCCTTCTACCTGTTGTTCATTAATAACAGATAGAAAAAAATTACATTGTATTATCTTACAACCGTACAATACGGTAATTGTGCTACATCATGTAGTAAAGGAACGTTCAGAAAATCTGGAGGCCAATGGGTAATTGTGCCACATCATGAAGTAAAGGAAGGTTAAGAAAATCTGGAGGCCTAGAGCGTCAAATGGTGGTATCCATAAAAACTGTTGCCTTTTTTACAAGAACATCGCTCACCATATTAACCTCACGGTAACATGGAAAATAGATTATGAATGATTATCAAGTCTAAATTTGCAATTAGCAGCTATGGTATGAAGAGACCATGGAGCTTTACAGTTACCGTATATGACCTAGACAAGTAACGAAGAATCACTCTTAATTTGTAGGGCAAGCATTCCATTTGAGTGGTTAAATCAACACCTTCTTGTAAACTTCGAAATTCTGCATAATTATTGGAAGCAAGTCCAAGAGGAACCGAAAAAGTAGCAACGAAAGATCATTATCCCGTTTCAAGATGCCCCCACAACTAGTTCAACTTGGATTATGAATAGGAGAACCATTAATATTTAGCTTAAAATGTTGTGAATGTAGAAAAGTCCATGCCACTATTATGGGTAACTTGACCCTTCACCGTCGCCACGTAAGATATAAATTCTCAATAATTGCCTTTTTTGAGATGTGGTAAGCCCATGCTTTAGCATTTGCCATATCACTAACATGGAAGGTAATCCTTCAAATCAGTGTTTAAAAAAACGCTGAGTCGAACTGGACTCGCCGGTTCGACTCGGGAATCACCATGGACGGATCGAATCGGCGAAAACAACGGGAATCGTCCGATTCTAGAGAGAACCGGACGATTCTGTACAGTTACTCGCCGATTCACTGTACGGAATCGGCGAGTCCGTACAGTGAATCGACGAGTCCCGTACGGAATTCTTTTTTTTTTTTTTTTTGAT